GTATACAATCTCAGTGTTGGCAGCCATCTGTATGGTAACTGTGTGCAGACAGCCCCAGTGATGGCAGCCATCTGTATGGTATCTGTGTGCAGACAGTCCTAGTGATGGGAACCATCAGTAGGGTAACTGTGTGCAGACAGTCCTAGTGATGGCAACCATCTGTATGGTATCTGTGTGCAGACAGTCCTAGTGATGGCAACCATCTGTATGGTATCTGTGTGCAGACAGTCCCAGTGATGGCAACCATCTGTATGGTATCTGTGTGCAGACAGTCAAAGTGATGGCAACCATCTGTAGGGTAACGGAGTGCAGACAGTCCCAGTGATGGCAGCCATCTGTATGGTATCTGTGTGCAGACAGTCCTAGTGATGGCAACCATCTGTATGGTAACTATGTGCAGACAGTCCTAGTGATGGCAGCCATCTGTATGGTATCTGTGTGCAGACAGTCCTAGTGATGGCAGCCATCTGTATGGTATCTGTGTGCAGACAGTCCTAGTGATGGGAACCATCAGTAGGGTAACTGTGTGCAGACAGTCCTAGTGATGGCAACCATCTGTATGGTATCTGTGTGCAGACAGTCCTAGTGATGGCAACCATCTGTATGGTATCTGTGTGCAGACAGTCCCAGTGATGGCAACCATCTGTATGGTATCTGTGTGCAGACACTCAAAGTGATGGCAACCATCTGTAGGGTAACGGAGTGCAGACAGTCCTAGTGATGGCAGCCATCTGTATGGTATCTGTGTGCAGACAGTCCTAGTGATGGCAACCATCTGTAGGGTAACGGAGTGCAGACAGTCCTAGTGATGGCAGCCATCTGTATGGTATCTGTGTGCAGACAGTCCTAGTGATGGCAACCATCTGTATGGTATCTGTGTGGAGACAGTCCTAGTGATTGCAACCATCAGTAGGGTAACTGTGTGCAGACAGTCCTAGTGATGGCAACCATCTGTATGGTATCTGTGTGCAGACAGTCCTCCAGTGATTGCAACCATCTGTAGGGTATCTGTGTGCAGACAGTCCTGTGTGCAGACAGTCCTAGTGATGGCAACCATCTGTATGGTATCTGTGTGCATACAGTTCCAGTGATGGCAACCATCTGTATGGTATCTGTCTGCAGACAGTCCTAGTGATGGAAGTCATCTGTATGGTATCTGTGTGCAGACAGTCCTAGTGATGGCAACCATCTGTATGGTAACTGTGTGCAGACAGTCCTAGTGATGGCAACCATCTGTATGGTATCTGTGTGCAGACAGTCCTAGTGATGGCAGCCATCTGTATGGTATCTGTGTGCATACAGCTCCAGTGAAGGCAACCATCTGTATGGTATCTGTCTGCAGACAGTCCTAGTGATGGCAGTCATTTGTATGGTATCTGTGTGCAGACAGTTCCAGTAATGGCAGCCATCTGTATGGTATCTGTGTGGAGACAGTTCCAGTGATGGCAACCATCTGTATGGTAACTGTGTGCAGACAGTTCTAGTGATGGCAACCATCTGTATGGTATCTGTGTGCAGACAGTTCCAGTGATGGCAGCCATCTGTATGGTATCTGTGTGCAGACAGCTCTAGTGATGGCAACCCTCTGTATGGTATCTGTGTGCAGACAGTTCCAGTGATGGCAACCATCTGTATGGTAACTGTGTGTAGACAGTCCTAGTGATGGCAACCATCTGTATTGTATCTGTGTGTAGACAGCTCTAGTGATGGCAACCATCTGTATGGTAACTGTGTGCAGACAGTCCTAGTGATGGCAACCATCTGTATGGTAACTGTGTGCAGACAGTCCTAGTGATGGCAACCATCTGTATGGTAACTGTGTGCAGAGAGTTCTAGTGATGGCAGCCATCTGTATGGTATCTGTGTGCAGACAGTCCTAGTGATGACAACCATCTGTATGGTAACTGTGTGTAGACAGTCTCAGTGATGGCAACCATCTGTATGGTAATTGTGTGCAGACAGTCCCAGTGATGGCAACCATCTGTATGGTAACTGTGTGCAGACAGTCCCAGTGATGGCAACCATCTGTATGGTAACTGTGTGTGTGCAGACAGTCCCAGTGATGGCAACCATCTGTATGGTAACTGTGTGCAGACAGTCCCAGTGATGGCAACCATCTGTATGGTAACTGTGTGCAGACAGTCCCAGTGATGACAACCATCTGTATGGTAACTGTGTGTAGACAGTCCCAGTGATGGCAACCATCTGTATGGTAACTGTGCGCAGACAGTCCTAGTGATGGCAACCATCTGTATGGTAACTGTGTGCAGACAGTCCTAGTGATGGCAACCATCTGTATGGTGACTGTGTGCAGACAGTCCTAGTGATGGCAACCATTTGTATGGTAACTGTGTGCAGACAGTCCTAGTGATGACAACCATCTGTATGGTAACTGTGTGCAGACAGTCCTAGTGATGACAACCATCTGTATGGTAACTGTGTGCAGACAGTCCCAGTGATGGCAACCATCTGTATGGTAACTGTGTGCAGACAGTCCTAGTGATGACAGCCATCTGTATGGTAACTGTGTGCAGACAGTCCTAGTGATGGCAGCCATCTGTATGGTAACTGTGTGCAGACAGTCCTAGTGATGGTCACCATCTGTTTGGTAACTGTGTGCAGACAGTCCCAGTGATGGCAACCATCTGTATGGTAACTGTGTGCAGACAGTCCTAGTGATGGCAACCATCTGTATGGTAACTGTGTGGAGACAGTCCTAGTGATGACAACCATCTGTATGGTAACTGTGTGCAGACAGTCCTAGTGATGACAACCATCTGTATCGTAACTGTGTGCAGACAGTCCTAGTGATGACAACCATCTGTATGGTAACTGTGTGCAGACAGTCCCAGTGATGGCAACCATCTGTATGGTAACTGTGTGCAGACAGTCCTAGTGATGACAGCCATCTGTATGGTAACTGTGTGGAGACAGTCCTAGTGATGGCAACCATCAGTAGGGTAACTGTGTGCAGACAGTCCTAGTGATGGCAACCATCTGTATGGTAACTGTGTGCAGACAGTTCTAGTGATGACAACCATCTGCACAGTGTCCTGGTGATATCTGATAACATGTGTCTTAGTAATAGTTATTGATCTGGACTCGATCCTAGAGATGGTAGCATACAATCTCAGTCATATAGACCTGTGACAAAATTCTAGTGAAAAAAACACATTGACGCGTAGTGGCGTAGAAAGGTTTGGTAAGGTTGATGGTTGTTAATGCCTCGAGCATTCTATCAGTTTTGTTTCAGTTCACACACAGGCAGACACATCTTTCCATCACCTGTGTTGCAGGTCTCACTGCCTGTGCTGTAGTCCACACATGCATAAATAGCATTGTACCACTCTTTGTTGTAATCCACACACAGACACAGCCACCCACCACCTGTGTTGTAGTCCACTCACAGGTAGACACAGCCTCCCACCACCTGTGTTGTAGTCCAAACACAGGTAGACACAGCCTCCTACCACCTGTGTAGTAGTAGTCACACACACAGACACAGCCTCCCGCTGCCTGTGTTATAGTCCACACACAGGTAGACACAGCCTCCCGCCGCCTGTGTTATAGTCCACACACAGGCAGACACAGTCTCCCACCACCTGTGTTGTCGTCCACACACAGGTAGACACAGCCTTCCACCACCTGTGCTGTAGTCCACACACAGGTAGACACAGTCTCCCACCACCTGTGTTGTAGTCCACACAGAGATAGACACAGCCTTCCACCACCTGTGCTGTAGTCCACACACAGGTAGACGCAGTCTCCCACCACCTGTGTTGTCGTCCACACACAGGCAGACACAGCCTCCCACCACCTGTGTTGTAGTCCACACACAGGTAGACACAGTCTCCCACCACCTGTGCTGTCGTCCACACACAGGCAGACACAGCCTCCCACCACCTGTGTTGTAGTCCACACACAGGCAGACACAGTCTCCCACCACCTGTGTTGTAGTCCACACACAGTTAGACACAGTCTCCCACCACCTGTGCTGTAGTCCACACACAGGCAGACACAGCCTCCCACCACCTGTGCTGTAGTCCACACACAGGCAGACACACCCTCCCGTCACCTTTGTTGTAGTCCACACACAGGCAGACACAGCGTCCCACCACCTGTGTTGTAGTACTCACATGTGAAACACAGCTTCACTTCGGCTGTAAAGCCCGTAGTGTTCATTTTGAGGAGCTATTGGTACAACTCACTTACGCTCTTCTCTTCTCTCACATTCGTCAAACCCGAAGATGTGTTTGAACATTGCATTGCTGATGAATGTATCCATCACAAATGAAAAATGTATATCTGAGTTCTGAGCCCAGAATTCATCCCTGAGGACGTTTCTCCATATTCCTGTCATTGGCGCACACACTAATGGCTTCCATCTGATGGGTTATTAACCGACTCGATAAATACCAGGTACCACAGGGAACACTTGCAAGATCTGGAGCTTCCCATTGTGTGGACTTTTCACATGGCACATGGCAGAAACCACAGGAGCACATCAAAGCTTGTCACTGACGGTTTCCAAGAATACGCCAACAGACTTGATCCAGTTTCCAGGAATAAATCAACACAGTTCACCCACAGTTTCCCGGAATACGCCGCCACAGCTCCGTAACAGTTTATAGAATACGCCAACACAGTCCATCTACAGTTTCCAGGAATACGCCAACACAGTTCACCCACAGTTTCCAGGAATACGCCAACACAGTTTACCCACAGTTTCCAGGAATACTCCAATACAGATCACCCACAGTTTCCAGGAATACGTCAACATAGATCACCCACAGTTTCCAGGAATACGCCAACACAGCTCACCCACAGTTTCCAGGAATACGCCAACACAGTTCACCCACAGTTTCCAGGAATACGCAAACACAGTTAACCCACAGTTTCCAGGAATACGCAAACACAGTTCACCCACAGTTTCCAAGAATACCTATTGGTCTTCAGTATCAGGATATACGCCAACACAGTACTCTTACACTGCAGATTGCTGCTACAGTCTACTTGTGCATCTGGAAAATAACATATTTTCCTCCCCAGTGTCAGTTTTCCTCAGTATGAGTGGTGTCGTTTCAACTGTTGCATTTGACTTTTGGTACTCCATCTGGTTTTCTTTTATCTCCTCATCTTCAGAACCCACAGTAAACTTGAGCCTCCGTCGCCGGGACGAGGATCTGCGCAGCAACTCTGCACTGCTGGGCCCTGAGAACAGCCCATGTGGGTGAAGGAAGGAGGGAATCTGATTATTTACAGTGGTGCCATTTGGCAGTGTTGCCTTTTCTGGTGCCCCCGGGGAGCCCTGCTCTCGAAAGGGGCTGTTGGGCTCCTTGTAGTGGACCCCCACCAGACGCCGGTAGGACCCAGCTGATGACAGCGGTGTCGTGTCAAGAGGAACGAGCTGCTTGAACCGAGTTATGCGCTTCTCTTCATCCTCCCCTGTCAGCCAGAACGTCCTCATCTCGCCCTTGCCCTGAAACAATGGTCAATACACTGAGGGCAGAGGTCGAGTGGACGAGTAAGTAGGTGTCCATTACATACAACCAGAAAACAAAGCCACTGTCTGAAAGCTTTCTCACCAGGAACGTGTATAATGAACCCATTTAGATTTCCCCAACCCGGGTAATAGATCCCCTATCCATAGTCATCTGTGATTCGTGACGCTGGTTCATGCAGTACATATCAAAAACTATAGCGCCATCTGACCAGCTGCTATATCATGAAAGTAAGGGCACTTTTGGGTGACATCACTTACGGTTTGTGGAAACACTTGAACGACTTTTAAACAGATTGGGCATATAGCTATCTGGAACAAAGATATATTCCCTTTCGATTTAATCTTAATCTTCAACGTCAGCTCAGAGCTGCCCGAATAATATAACTTCATTAAGCGTGGGCTGTGTTAAATATTCAGAATACTGGAGCATATTATGAATGCCATATTGTAATTTGATCAAACTGAGAGCCTCACTTTGTAAATGACCTTACCAAATGGCAAGAACAGAAGACATGGAATGCAACAGTATGTTGAATATTCTAAACATGAAGCAGCATAGTTACTTTCTCTAAACATGGACTCATAAACACATGCTTATGAAGTCAGAATTGTAACTCGACTGAGCTTTTAGCAACGATTTCCTACGAACACGAGAAGGGTTTGATAACTGTCATTTAGACGTTGATCGCATGAGCAATCGGTTTGGTATTGTGACTCTGACAACATCAGTAACGTGAACAGGAGAACCCAGGTTTCCGACTACGACGCCATGTTTCAGACACGCCAAAGGGAAGCAGCTCTGGACAGCCGGTTCCGGCACCACAAAACACAAGCTTTAAGTTGTTATGTTTGAATCATTGATGGAAAACCCACATCTGTCACCTGGCATTGTGATTCAGTCACGCTAGGACGATATCATTCTATTTAGCGTTTAATCTTGATGATCGTGATGGAGCTTTGTTGCAGAGATCGTATCTCTGGCACTGGGATTGTAACGAGATATCTGCTGTGGGGTGGCTCGGTGTGTTTCATCAAACAGATGCAAAGATTGTAGGTGATCTGGATGAAGGTGGCGTCCACTGCAGTAGCATGAGCCACATCACAGCTTCCTTGTCATGTATGTCATGGTATTTGCCAGCCACATCACAGCTTCCTTGTCATGTATGTCATGGTATTTGCCAGCCACATCACAGCTTCCTTGTCATGTATGTCATGGTATTTGCCAGCCACATCACAGCTTCCTTGTCATGTATGTCATGGTATTTGCCAGCCACATCACAATGTCCTGGTCATGTATGTCATGGTATTTGCCAGCCACATCACCTTGTCATGTATGTCATGGTATTTGCCAGCCACATCACAATGTCCTGGTCATGTATGTCATGGTATTTGCCAGTCACATCACAATGTCCTTGTCATGTATGTCATGGTATTTGCCAGTCACATCACAATGTCCTGGTCATGTATGTCATGGTATTTGCCAGTCACATCACAGCTTCCTTGTCATGTATGTCATGGTATTTGCCAGCCACATTACAGCTTCCTTGTCATGTATGTCATGGTATTTGCCAGCCACATCACAGCTTCCTTGTCATGTATGTCATGGTATTTGCCAGCCACACCACAGCTTCCTTGTCATGTATGTCATGGTATTTGCCAGCCACATCACAGCTTCCTTGTCATGTATGTCATGGTATTTGCCAGTCACATCACAGCTTCCATGTCATGTATGTCATGGTATTTGCCAGCCACATCACAGCTTCCTTGTCATGTATGTCATGGTATTTGCCAGCCACATCACAATGTCCTGGTCATGTATGTCATGACATTTGCCAGCCACATCATAGCTTCCTTGTCATGTATGTCATGGTATTTGCCAGCCACATCACAATGTCCTGGTCATGTATGTCATGGTATTTGCCAGCCACATCACAATGTCCTGGTCATGTATGTCATGGTATTTGCCAGCCAAATCACAGCTTCCTTGTCATGTATGTCATGGTATTTGCCAGCCACATCACAATGTCCTGGTCATGTATGTCATGGTATTTGCCAGCCACATCACAGCTTCCTTGTCATGTATGTCATGGTATTTGCCAGCCACATCACAATGTCCTGGTCATGTATGTCATGGTATTTGCCAGCCACATCACAATGTCCTGGTCATGTATGTCATGGTATTTGCCAGCCACATCACAGCTTCCTTGTCATGTATGTCATGGTATTTGCCAGCCACATCACAGCTTCCTTGTCATGTATGTCATGGTATTTGCCAGCCACATCACAATGTCCTGGTCATGTATGTCATGGTATTTGCCAGCCACATCACAGCTTCCTTGTCATGTATGTCATGGTATTTGCCAGCCACATCACAATGTCCTGGTCATGTATGTCATGGTATTTGCCAGCCACATCACAATGTCCTGGTCATGTATGTCATGGTATTTGCCAGCCACATCACAGCTTCCTTGTCATGTATGTCATGGTATTTGCCAGCCACATCACAATGTCCTGGTCATGTATGTCATGGTATTTGCCAGCCACATCACAATGTCCTGGTCATGTATGTCATGGTATTTGCCAGCCACATCACAGCTTCCTTGTCATGTATGTCATGGTATTTGCCAGCCACATCACAATGTCCTGGTCATGTATGTCATGGTATTTGCCAGCCACATCACAGCTTCCTTGTCATGTATGTCATGGTATTTGCATTTGCCAGTCACATCACAGCTTCCTTGTCATGTATGTCATGGTATTTGCCAGCCACATCACAATGTGCTCTTGTCCTTGTCATGGTATTTGCCAGCCACATCACAATGTCCTTGTCATGTATGTCATGGTATTTGCCAGCCACATCACAGCTTCCTTGTCATGTATGTCATGGTATTTGCCAGCCACATCACAATGTCCTTGTCATGTATGTCATGGTATTTGCCAGCCACATCACAGCCTCCTTGTCATGTATGTCATGGTATTTGCCAGCCACATCACAATGTCCTGGTCATGTATATATACGATGCTATGAGGTTTTTACTCCCATGAAGCTCCAGATGAACAAATAGCACTGGCCTGGCAGGTGTTTGATCATCCTTGTAGTTTGACAGAGATTTTTAAACGTAGGTATGTCTGTGGCATCCCCTTGAATCAACGTATACTGGAGAAAACAGTATTTGAAGTTCATCCTCTATGCCAGATGGATTTCAGGATAGTAAGCTGTCGTCCAATATTTCAGATAACCCATCTGGGATCTTGAACATTTTAACACAATTCTGTTCAATTAAACACTCAAAACATCTGTACGTGGCATATCTTGAACTGCTTTCAAGTGTCGCACTTTAACCAGCTGAAGTATATCTACTGGCGTTCTATGAAAAAATCAAATCAAATCGCAAAAACAAAATAATTAAAAACATAACCTGTGACGGCAGAAACACACCCAAGTCACATGAATTAGGCGGTGTATGTGGAGGAGGGTGGACGTGGACGTTATATGCGAACACTACAAGGGACATGAATTATTCCGCTGCTAATTCTCTTTTACTGCTCTGAAACTGGAGGATAAATATTATGTCTGCTTGGTATTTCTTGAATAAAAAAATGACTTGATGTAAAGTAGTCACCTTCAGCGTGATAAAGCCTCTGTCCTCGATGATGTAGCCACCTATTTTGTGGAGGAGCTCGGCACACTGACGTGAGCAGTGGATCTTTAGTGCTGTAACATAAAGTAAACATCAGACCAGGCTATCATTTCCAACATGTAAATGGGGTGTTTGTGTGCTATCTCCCGTTTAAACAAGTATATGCCCGGATCTAGGGTTTCACTCAATTAGCCACCACAGGGAATATGAGTTTGTAATATGCCCCTTATGTGTCTGTCACTGATCTAGAGGGGGAGATGTGGCGGGTCACGATGGCACGGCTGCGGTCAAGTGAACGTTGAAGTGGGGACAGTGTATGCACTGTTTGTCTGTAGACAATAAAGGTTCCTCCGTGGAGGTAATACAGGTCCGTTCACAGACCAGGGTTAGGCAATGACAAGACATGGCAATGGAGTCAGGAGGGGAAGATAATGGAAAAAGGAGAGCAGGAGAAATACAGCAAGAGAGGAAGGAGGAGAGGGATAGTAAGAGAGGGAGGGGGTGACGGGTAGTAAGATACGAAGGAGGTGACGGATAGGAAGAGACGAAGGAGGAGACGGATAGTAAGAGAGGAAGGAGAAATACAGGAAGAGAGGAAGGAGGAAAGGGATAGTAAGAGACGAAGGAGGAGACGGATAGTAAGAGAGGAAGGAGAAATACAGGAAGAGAGGAAGGAGGAGACGGATAGTAAGAGAGGAAGGAGGAGACGGATAGGAAGAAAGGAAGAAAAAGACGGATAGTATGAGAGGCAGGAGGAGACGGATAGTAAGAGAGGAAGGAGGGGACGGATAGGAAGAGAGGAAGAAGAAGACGGATAGTATGAGAGGCAGGAGGAGAGGGATAGTAAGAAAGGCAGGAGGAGACGGATAGTAAGAGCAGGAGGAGACGGATAGTAAGAGAGGAAGGTGGAGACGGATAGGAAGAGAGGAAGAAGAAGACGGATAGTATGAGGCAGGAGGAGACGGATAGTAAGAAAGGCAGGAGGAGACGGATAGTAAGAGAGGAAGGAGAAGACGGATAGTAAGAGAGGCAGGAGGAGACGGATAGTAAGAGGAATGATTTGACGGATAGTAAGAGAGGAAGGAGCAGACGGATAGTAAGAAAGGCAGGAGGAGACGTATAGTAAGAGAGACAGGAGGAGACGGATAGTAAGAGAGGAAGGTTTTGACGGATAGTAAGATGAAGGAGGAGACAGATAGTAAGAGAGGCAGGAGGAGACGGATAGTAAGAGAGGAAGGAGGAGACGGATAGTAAGAGAGGAAGGAGGAGTCGGATAGTAGGAGAGGAAAGAGGAGAAAGATAGTAAGAGAGGCAGGAGGAGACAGATAGTAAGAGAGGAAGGAGGAGAAGGATAGTAAGAGAGGCAGGAGGAGACGGATTTTAAGACAGGAAACAGTAGACGGATAGCATGAGAGGTAGGAGGATACGGATAGCAAGAGAGGGAGGATTTGACGGATGGTAAGAGAGGAAGGAGAACACGGATAGAAAGAGGCAGGAGGAGACAGATAGTAAGAGAGGGAGGAGGGAACGGATAGTAAGACAGGAAGGAGGAGTCGGATAGTAGGAGGGAAATAGGAGAAGGATAAGAGGCAGGAGGACGGATACATATGACGGATGGTAAAAGAGAGGAAGAGCAGACGGATAGTAAGGAGGCAGGGACACGTATAGTAAGAGAGAGGAGGAGACGGATAGTAAGAGAGGAAGGAGGAGACGGATAGTAAGAGAGGAAGGAGAAGACGGATAGTAAGAGAGGCAGGAGGAGACGGATAGTAAGAGAGGAAGGAGGGACGGATAGGAAGAGAGGAAGAAGAGACGGAGTATGAGAGGCAGGAAGGAGAGGATGAAGTAAGAAAGGCAGGGGAGACGGATAGTAAGAGCAGGAGGAGACGGATAGTAAGAGAGGAAGGTGGAGACGGATAGGGAAGAGAGGAAGAAGAAGACGGATGAGTATGAGGCAGGGAGGAGACGGATAGTAAGAAAGGCATGGAGACGGATAGTAAGAGGAAGGAGAAGACGGATAGAGAGGCAGGAGGAGACGGATAGTAAGAGGAATGATTTGACGGACAGTAAGAGAAGGAGCAGACGGATAGTAAGAAAGGCAGGAGACGATAGTAAGAGAGACAGGAGGAGACGGATAGTAAGAGAGGAAGGTTTTGACGGAAAGTAAGATGAAGGAGGAGACAGATAGTAAGAGAGGTGCAGGAGGAGAGACGTAGAGAGGAAGGAGGGACGGATAGTAAGAGAGGAAGGAGGAGTCGGATAGTAGGAGAGGAAAGAGGAGAAAGATAGTAAGAGAGGCAGGAGGAGACAGATAGTAAGAGAGGAAGGAGGAGAAGGCTAGTAAGAGAGGCAGGAGGAGACGGATTTTAAGACAGGAAACAGTAGACGGATAGCATGAGAGGTAGGAGGATACGGATAGCAAGAGAGGGAGGATTTGACGGATGGTAAGAGAGGAAGGAGAACACGGATAGAAAGAGGCAGGAGGAGACAGATAGTAAGAGAGGGAGGAGGGAACGGATAGTAAGACAGGAAACAGGAGACAGATAGTAAGAGAGGAAGGAGAACACGGATAGTAAGAGAGGCAGGAGGAGACGGGTAGTAAAAGAGGGAGGAGGGAACAGATAGTAAGAGAGGCAGGAGGAGACGGGTAATGAGAGAGGCAGGAGGCGGATAGTAAGAGACGAAGGAGAAGATGGATAGTACGAGAGGCAGGAGGAGACGGGTAGTAAGACAGGAAGGAGAAGACTTGTAGTTAGAGAGGAAGCAAACGGATAGTTAGAGAGAGAGGGGGTGACGCGTAGTATGAGAGGAAGAAGGAAACGGATAGTAAGAGATGAAGGAGGAAGGGGAAGGGGAAATCCTTCTCTTTATAATTATCTTTAATGTATCCCACATAATGTTTACTAGTACAGCAGTCAATGTTCCGTCGATGAACATCCAGGGTCTGCCTTGTGCACAAGTTACCGGGCCGCATGTCGGGGGACATACATGGGTGTACTGGGCTCTAACTAGGTATGGGACAAAGGGATACAGACAAGTTGGCATCAATATTCATCTGATTAATAGCACACAGAACTTTAAACATCCGCTCCTTTGACCCAATCTAAGCAAAATTCATATGCAGATATGTTCATCTCTACCAATACGGTTATTGATTAGCAGGCTTGAGATGAAGATGAAATAATTAATGGCAAACACTCACGTTCTCCGTTGGACTCCATTCTGGAGGCAGTGTTGACAGTGTCCCCGAACAGACAGTAGCGAGGCATCTTCAGGCCCACCACCCCCGCCACACAGGGGCCGGAGTGAAGCCCGATCCTCAGCTTTAGGGTGTCCGGCCGGTGCTTCATTCGGAACTTCTTAATGGCCTCGAGAAGATGGAGCGACATAGAGGCAATCTCTCCGGCGTGACTGTCGTTCCTGTTCGGCAGCCCACTCACCACCATGTAGGCGTCCCCGATAGTTTCCACCTTGTACACGTCGTAGTATTCAATGGTGGCATCAAACAACGTGTACAGGTCGTTGAGGAGGTCGATGACCTGGAGAGATGACAGCTTACATGACATATCCACATGACATATCCACACCGACATACACAATGTCGCTGTGTTGGAATTGTGTGTCATATTATAAATGTTTAAATAGAACTGAATTAACTTATCAACTATGAAATGGATTATCTCCATTATACCGCATAACGTATGAAATTATCATATTCACATCACAGACGTATCTTCAACGTATTGGTAAGACACCTGGACTCGCCACAGCCTGTTACAACCACTTGACAGATGAAGAAATAACATGATAATGACTTCGAAATTGTTCAACTACCAACACAGTATGACGAAAGGGGAAAAGATAGTCTTTGAGGAACAGATCAGAAAGACAGACTGAGTGTGAGTGAGTTTGGTAATGTCAGCAATATCCCAGCTATTCACGGCTCGGGTACCTCAATTGGCTTCAATGGTTGTGCCCCAATCTTAGAGCGACCGAGCGCTGCTGTGAGTACCCGAGTACCATGTCGCCATTCAATCCAGTTGCCCTATGGTAACTGATGTTTGTCATAACTATGTAGGTGACTTCAGAAGAAAAACACTGCGCTACAATGCTGGAAGCCGATGTGTAGAAAAACAGCGTGACATGCGTTCAGTTAAACTCAACCTCGCCGGCCTCCTGTGGAGAGTAATGCCATTAAGATAGCGAACACGCCGCCAAACGAGAAGCTGGCATTTTTTACAACTCTGTGAACTCGGAGTCGGAATTATCGGAAGCTGGAAATAATTTCATTAATGTTAGGATTTTAGCTAGAATCATAAAAACCGCGTTACAATAAGAATGTTCCGACAGAAGCTAACTACTTACAAACAGGTTATGTCACGAAGGTTACAATTCTGTAAAGTGTCGCAGTACATATCTGGGGGCCATTTTGTGGTTTTGTAGCGATAGATATTTCTGACCTACTGTGCGGAAGATATCTAGGATATATCGATGTGTGCTATGTGTCTACGGCAAATTAAGAGCAATCAATGGAAATGTTCAAATTACCCCTGGAACAACGACAGGTCAAAGCTATCGCAACTAATTCAATCAATTTGTAATGAACAATTCCCTGATGTCATCTGAACGAACATCAAAGCGCTTCAATGGGCGTATTACAAGTGTGTGTCTGCATTGATAAATGCAATGTTTACGTGCGCTAATCACTTCGTACCATCAACTCAGACCTACATCACCCTCAAGCCTGCGTGTGTATGACGTCCGCCTTGAACCTAACACGACATCCTAAACTCCAAAACCAGGGCACTCAACACAACACGACATCTGCACCTTGGTCACCAGTAGTCACACAGATGTTTGATGCGACAGTTAAGGTGAGAGTCGCCTAGTGTCGCCTTTTACACAGTTCACGGAGCACCATGTGTCTATCTAGCAACACGGGTGCTTTGTGTCGGTGCAGATGGTGACTCGGATGCAACGTGCTTCATGAAATGAAATTGATAACTCCATTGCTAATTTGATTACATCTAGGAGCTTGATCGACTTCTGAGGGAACAAAGAGCTTAACTTAGTGACGTGACGCACCATCGCACAGACGACTTATATCAAATCACTGCCAGCTCAATAATAGCAACCTACGTCAATTCGTGCGATAGGGAATTACGAATGATGAATGGCAATGTTTATTTTCTACTTTTTGTATGACAATAAATGGTGTATGTTACAATTCCATCGGCCAGTAGCAAGTTAAGTAAGTACAGTTCTTGCCATAGTACACGATATACACTAAAGTACTGTCGCAAATAGAAACACACCCTGTTTTTAGGCTGTTACTCTGTATTCCTAAAATTTACAAATTTACAAATGGCATATATCGAAATAACCCACATCGGCCTAACTGGGCATTCAGTGGGATGCGTAATAGTATATCCAGAAACATGTTTACTCGTAAAATCGGGCAAAACTTAGAAAAAATACGAATAGCTGCTCAAAACAATAGATCAGGCTATAGATGTCAATTAGGTTGCTCAGCCAGGTATGACGACGGACCGTCGACTCACCTGGCATGAAAAGCATGTGCTGCCTACAAGCACAAGGGGTCATCTCAAAGATATTTTATGCCTTTTCGTGTGTGTTGAATATGTCTCATCTATAGATCATAAAGTTTGTGTTGAGATACGTAAAAGGGTATGATACCCATGGAGAAGCTTAAATCAACCATCGTATTAAATGTCTCAAAATAAATAGATGACATGACAACCTTAAGATCGACAGGACTGGATATTATTTGTAAATTGTTATGACATGCCGTTTGCTTCCCAGTTTAATTCCCCTAAATGATTATCTTATCTCATCCCGACCCCAACCACCGTCTGCTACACCCGTCCTGGATTTGCTTTCAAGACGACCCCTCCTACCTGTTTCTTTTTATAGTGATTGTGAGACTCCATGGTAGCTACATCCTTCATAGTTTCAGTATTAAAGTTATTATTTTAACACTAGCCTCAGACTTGGCATCATGCCCACTCCATTTAAATCAGCGATAGTGAAACCTCTTCTGAAGAAATCAAATCTGGATCCAGATGAACTCAAGAATTATCGTCCTGTATCCAACCTTACCTTCATGTCCAAGGTGATAGAGAGAGCAGTGGGAGACAGGTTATCTCAGCATCTGTTGCATCATGACCTCTACGAGCCATATCAGCCGGCTTACCGTAAGAACCACAGTACTGAGACAGCTCTTGTCCGTGTGTTTAATGACTTGAGACTCAGTGTTTACAATAACATGACATCTTTATTGGTCCTCCTCGACCTCAGCGCCGCATTCGAAACCATTGATCATAGCAGGCTTCTGTTTCGTCTCAGGAATAACTTTGGTATTGATGGGATAGTGCTGGATTGGTTCACATCGTATTTTACAAATCGTCACCAGGCTGTATTCATTGATGGTTGCTCTTCTGACAACGTTCATCTCCAATGTGGTGTTCCTCAGGGATCTGTACTAGGACCGGTCCTTTTCACACTATACACAAAAAAGGATCTCGGGACTCTCATTGACCAGTTTCAAGTCTCGCGACAGTTGTATGCAGATGACACCCAGCTTCATAACAGCTTCAAACCAAATCCAACTTACGTGCATTCTGCAACAGACCACATGGCAGAGTGTTGTGACCAGATCAAGTCATGGATGTTCACCAACAAGCCGAAGCTCAATGAGGACAAGACGGAGTGTCTTCTGGTAGGGACTACACCTCGCCGAGAACAGGCCAACATCAAGTCGTTTCACTTTGGCGAAACCACTGTTCCACTATCTAACAGTGTTCAGGACCTTGGCGTGACTGTTGATCCAGAGCTGTCATTGGACCAGCACATTACCATCTTGTGCAGGACATGCTTCCTACTCCTCAGAAACATTGGACAGCTTCTCACAAAGGTGTCAGCTATTATCCTTGTCCTCTCATTGGTGATGCCTAGACTAGATTATTGCAACAGCCTCTTTGCTGGCGCAACAATATCCCAGATTGGTAGACTGCAACGGGTCCAGAACACAGCACCAAGAATAGTCACTCTCTCACCCAAGTCATCTCACATCACCCCTGTGTTGAAGGACCTCCATTGGTTTCCCATTCCACAGCGCATCACTTTTAAACTCTGCATTCTCGCCTTCAGATGTCTCTCTGGAAGTGCACCTCAATATCTGTCCGACCTCCTTTCTCCATACAAACCAACAAGATCCCATTCCGCTCCGAGAAACATAATCTTCTGTGTATTCCTAAAGTCAGAACAGTTAGAATTGTTCAAAGAACTTTCTCTTATGCTGCAGCCTCAGAGTGGAATCATCTCCCACACCATTTGAGAGAAATGACAGAACTTTCAACCTTTCGAACATCGCTAAAGACCCACCTTTTCCAAAAAGCCTTTTCGTCCTGACATCAGCGCTTTAGCATGCATTGTGCATGGAAATATGCGCTTTATAAATGAACTATATTATTATTATTTTTTAAAATATTTTTTACGTCAGCTATCGTTTATAATGAAGATAAGTTTAATGTCAAAATGGACATTTAAAAATTGTCCTTTGTAATATAATATCATCGCACACTAATTTGCATAAAGCCATGGTCTGTTCCAAATAAGTCGCTTTGGACTTCGAAAAACCGCATTTCTCATTTCTGCACTAATCACTCCTCAGCAAAGTCCTTTTTCTACGTTTCCTATCTCCCTACCACTGAGACTGTAGTTAGGCCGAACTTAGTTTAACAGATATTTCACACTTACACATATTAACTACATAAAGTGTAGATATCAATGTGAAAAAACAGTTTTTCATCTATTTCCGACAGTACTTTAAGTCTTAACCATCTAGTAAATAAACAGGCCACACACTGTATTATCTACTCATCGTACTTGTACCACACTGTACTGTCTACTCAATGTGCCTGTAACACACAATTCTGTCTACTCATCGTAGCTTATAACACACAATACTGTCTACTCATTGTACCTGTAACACACTGTACTGTCTACTCAATGTGCCTGTAACACACACTTTTGTCTACTCATCGTACCTTATAACACACAATACTGTCTACTCATTGTACCTGTAACACACTGCCCTCTCTACTCATTCTACCTGTAACACAATGTACTGTCTACTCATTGTACCTGTAACACACTGTACTGTCTACTCATTGTACCTTATAACACACAATACTGTCTATTCATCGTACCTTATAACACACAATACTGTCTATTCATCGTACCTTATAACACACAATACTGTCAACTCATTGTACCTTTAACACAATGTACTGTCTACTCATTGTACCTGTAACACAATACAGTCTACTCATTGTACCTTATAACACACAATACTGTCTACTCATTGTACCTGTAACACAATGTACTGTCTACGCATTGTACCTGTAACACAATGTACTGTCCACTGTCTACCATTGTACCTGTAACACAATGTACTGTCTACTCATTGTACCTGTAACACACTGTACTGTCTACTCATTGTACCTGTAACACACTG